AGAGATAGACTGCGGAAGAAATCCGGGAGAATCCGAGAGATATCCGAGCTGAGCCGCGATATCGGTCGGCGACATGTCCCAAAAATGAGCTGTCGCTGTCTGCTGTGTCGCGTTGCGAAAATAATTTCGTGCCGACGCGGCGCGCTCGCCGACGACGGCTCGCGTCGGCAGCCATGAAATTCGCGCTTCGACGAACAATGCCCATCAATATTCATACGATAAAAGCATCAGTGTTCAAATTTCGACGTCGCTATTACAAGCTGTTTTCGAACTCCCCCCGTATGTAAACGAATCCTGGCAATCGTACGTGGCGGCTATTTTCTGCGAGAACGACAAGGGGTGCGGGGAGGAGGAGGAGGAGGAGGGTTGGCGATGAAACGCGGAGTTATACACACTCCCGGGAGAGGGGGAGGTGGGAGCCGGAGTCCTAATAATTCATAATACACGATTGCGCGCCGCTCGTGCGACTATTGCGCGTTGGTTTGTTTTCGAATGTATACGTAATAAATAATGGGATCAAACGGAAATTAACGAAGCTAAATTCTCTCTTTTCGGCCGGAATCCCGCGACTGCAGCCACTGAACGGAGAAAAATTGCGTTACAATGAATATATTGTTATTCATCGTGTTCGCGGCAACGCGAAATCGCCGAATAAATGCGCGCGGGCACGCGATACACGAAACTAAATCCCCCTCCCTCTCTCTCTCTCTCTCTCTCTCTCTCTTCAAACGAAAATCGTAATTGCGCAAATACAGCTACTAAACGACGGAAAATTGTATCACCAACGCTCGCGTATTATTATTCTTCTGGCGCGTGTTATTGCGGGGTGAAATCGACGCGACGTATATCCACACGACGGACAAACGCTTGAGTTCTCGCGCATCTAAACATTCAAAGTGCGTCATTTCGAGTGCGCGATAAGCGCGCCACGTAAAAATACAAGAAGTGTGCGCGATTTTTGCTTCGCGACCGTTCGCGAGACGCATCTCGTGTTCGGCGAAAAAGGCGTACGTATGTGGGGGGCCGGCGACGACGAGCGCTCACGTGCTCGGCCAGCCGTGCGTCGCAGTCAACCGGACGAGATCGCGGAAGAGGAAAGAGAGAGAGAGAGAGAGAGAGAGAGAGAGAGAGAGAGAGAGAGAGAGAGAGAGAGAGAGAGAGAGAGAGAAAGAGGAAGAAACAGAAAGAAAGCCCGGATAAAATTGGAAATAAAGCCGTAAAAAATTTCTCAACGGCGGTCAACGATGGCGGAATGCGGTCGGTCGTATATTTCGCGCGCTTCATCGATCGCCTCGAGAGGGCCCCGACAAAAGCGGCGACACCGCGGGAGCGAGCGAAGGAGCGCGCGCGCGCGCATTCGGAGTATTTAAAACTGTTTAGCCGGCAGTTAATTGCGCCGGTAATTCCGCCGATGGAATAATAATGCCGGGGCCGTGTCGAGCGGCGCGCGCGGCCCAATAAATCCCGGAGATTCAAACGGGTCGCCGCCGACCGCCTCTCCCCGAGAATCGTCCCGGCTACGCACGCCGTAATGATATATTGAGCGACGCGTGGCCGTAATGTCGACATTTTGCCTTAATGTATCACGGCCAGCCCGGCGAGGGAGGCAGGAGTGAGAAAGGGAAAGCGCGCCTCAGCACCCTTGAAATATCCTCAAATATACGAGAAGGGCTCCTCCTCTACTACAATGACGCGCGTGCTCGCACTCGCGCACTCGCTGAGGCTTCTACACGGATATTAAAAAAAAAAGAAAGAGATAAGAAAATAATTACGCCACGGACGAAATTACGATAACGCGGCTGTGCGCCGGGTGCGCGTGCGCTTTACGACGCTTTATTACGCCGCCGACGCGAATCTTTGCGCTCTTTGTTAATTCAATTCTACGCGAGTCCTTAATAAAGCGAAGTGTCTCGCGTGAAATGCGCATTTGAGCAAGCTTAAGCGAGAACCAACTGTCGAAATTGGGTGTCTGCGTTTTTTTTTTTTTATCTTTGGCCCGTACAAAAGAGACGTTTGAGTAACAAATTTTTCACCATTCTTCTTTCCATATGGTTTTCAAAATTTGTAGAAATTGTAGGAAAGTGAGGTATAATGGTGGGTCCACGAAACGTCGGAGAAAAGGAAAAGAAGAGAAAACGAGGAGTTGAGAATATGATCTTGCATCTTTACGAGAAATAATATTGACGACTCGCCGTGCACGATTATACTCGCCGATTGGCGACGAACGTTTAACCCAGCGAGCGATTAAGTAATTGGCCGTGATAAGAAATTAGCATGAGACGAGCATTAAGTCGACCAATCCGGCAGGTCCGTTGGACGTTAATCTCTAATTTATGATAATCGTTATTGCCCGTTCGCCCAGATTTTAATTCTGCCTGCGCGCAGACCGCTCGGCGCGGTATCATACACACAAATTAAGGAATAATACGCGATTGCGTGCGGACGTAACATTGTTAGTGACAAAGCAGAAGGGTTCGCTTCTAAAATCGCGGCTAACAGTCGTACGTTACTGTCGCGCTTAATTGAAATCGCAGGCATAACCATGACAGAGCGAATTTCGCTAAACGCGAAACGAGCCGGCGGTTATTTTTATCCGCTACGTTTTCGCGGCCTTATTTTCGCGGAAATATTCGCTCTTTTAATCCGATTCTAATTAGAATCCTTATTACGATGGGAATGTTACGATCTTTTTGTATTTCTCTCAGCGCATTACGCGCGCGTATCTCCCGACTTGAATAAATTTGCAATGGCCGGATATCAAAAATAAAAATTCCTCTTTTCCCTCTCGTCATACCCTCGGAGGGTGTTTTTCAGACTTTTTCGACCGCAAGCCGCAGAAAGAAACGTGTATCACGTCACAATGTACGTAAATATTTACGTAACGAGAATTTTACAAAAATACATCCACAAACGATATATTAATAAGTATGCGACAATTTATAATTTTGCCTAGACCCGTGTGTTTAAACAAACATATAAGAACAAATATACGACAATGATGATATTAACATTTTAATATTTGGATAAACGGAAGAATCTCTCGAATAAACGCGATAGATAATTCAATGCTGGTCGTGACGCGTTAAATTGATTTCACGGTCTATTAACAACAGTTGCGACACACAATTTGAAAAACAGTCCTTGGACGTAATTAATTTTATGGAAGGTCTCTCGCAGAATGCCTATTCAAGAGGAAGAAAATACAGACAAATTGTTTATACCACGTGCTACATCAATTTTAAATATCCTAGTAAAAATTAAAATCTTTTTCCACTAAACTTCATCCGTGAAATGTGGGCCAGTCATCTGTGAAATCTCAATTTATTAATTTATGTGTAATCTGGCTTATCTTACTGTATCCGCGTTAAAGCCGCACGTTTTCCCTGCCGCGCGAATCCCTTTATCATTTTTATCACGCGATTTTCTCCAGCACGCAAAAGTAAATGTGTCTCATTTGTCTTCGTCACTCCGTTCGACGTATCGCTCTCTCTTCTTCTCCTTCCCCTTTCTCTCTCTCTCTCTCTCTCTCTCTCTCTCTCTCTCTCTCTCTTCTCTCCTTTTCTCCGTACTCTAGTTCAATCGTTATCACCCACACCGCCTCCTCCCCTTTATCCACACACCCCTATCTTTTTTACGTTCTTTAGGATATTTGCCGGCCTTTTCACAATCTCGATGGAACTTTACCGAGACTTGACCTACTAAAGCGTATTAAGTTTATCGTCGACTAAGCGCTAAATGCAAAAACATACAATATGAAAGAAGAAGAGCGATCGAGCGTGTATAATGCGGACTGCACGGACATCGCGAACGTGCGATGGATTATTTAGAGTCCAGTTAATAAACAGAGCAATAACGAAAGAGAGATGGTATATCGTTAACCAGAATTGCAACTGATCAAACCCGCCGGCGAAATGAGAACTCGTATCCTTAACTGATGGACATTAATCTGTCTATGGTACAATAACAGAAACACATTGCCACACAATGCAAATAAAAAAAAAAATTACTTTTCGTGATGCAACGTGTTGTATCATTAGGTTGGATTATTGAAAAATGCTTGATATTGCATTATCTTACGAGCGTAATCCGTATCAACCACGCGTGTTGACACATGTTACATCATCCTTGTCGCATTCTCGCCACATGGTTCTATTTGTTAAACGACGGAGGAGAAAATCAATATCACTGCATTTCGGACAAGCTCCGATTATTCGCGCTCTCTGTCGAATGATCGTCGATATTGATTTTGTCATCCTTTCAATTTCTCGCCGCCGAGAAACGTACCAGCCGCCAGTGGTGTCATGTTCTCGCCGACGATGTCTTAATATCATTTCTTATCAGTTTTAATCTGCCGCAAAATATAGTAATGAGGTCGTCACGTTTTCGAATTTCAGCGCGCGTGTTATCATCTTTCGCGGCCGCTTCTTTCTTTCTTCCCTCTTTTTATTGACTCTACTGTTTTGCTCGCCCGTAAAACGATAACGACATAATGACGATAATGCAGCTGCTGTTGCTGATGATGATGATGATGATGATGACGATAGTGACGACGACAACACTGACGGACATTGGCGTTGTCGTCGTCCCTACGCAACGTTGACAGCTAGGAGAATCTGATCAAGCCGATAAACAATATCGCGAAATGTGTTTGATTTCACGCTTTGTCCACACGAGATCATCGACGAGTTTCACTGACTATTTGACTGACAGTCAGCAAGATGATTCAATTGCGTGCTAAACATCATCTCATCGTACGAGTTTGTAATTCATCCTGTTGCATTTTGAGGTTAAACACGCCGCTTGTTTGTATATCCGACGAGCAAGAACTCAAGGATGACTTCAATTACTTACACGAACAAGCCACGTGTTTCGTACGCTAATGACACTCATTGTATCTACGCATGACGCAGACGAATGAAGTGATAATAACACCTTTACAACTAACTAACGTTGCAAAAGACAATAATGTGGTCTAAATGTAGCTTCTAATTTTGTTTCAGTTGGTACGCAAGCATGGCTTTGTTACGTTATACGTGGCTCCTAACACTACTAGGTAAGGCATTATAAACAAAAACACAAGTCCTATATAATAATATTTATGTGCATACTGATTATATATAATTATGCTTTGCCCTTTTGTACTTGCAGCTTTAAAGTGTGTTCAGGCAGACTTCAAAGTGTCTACGCAGGATTTAAAAATCCAACTCAATCATCCTGTATCATTTAACTTATCCTTAACGTGAGTACTGATTGATTGATAATGTCATTGCATGTTACCAGACTAAGTCACTATAATGGGCTGTATCACAAATGACCATGGAGCACATGTAGATTTTATTGGCTATTGCACGATCACAATATGAACAGTCATATTGCTTTTAAGAGCATGTATATATCCACTCTGTGATTGCAATATGTTAACATGCACAGATGCTCTTAATGTCTAAAAATTATCTACAAAATAAATTACAAAATAAATCAAGTACAGTCGACGGAATTTATGTTGGATACAAGTAGCATATTTTATTACCTTCACCCATGTGTCACTAGTATCACTTAAGTGCAAGACATGTCAGACATGGCACTTTATCATTCGCTCCAGAAACATTGATAACAGCGTTAACTAAAGACTAGTAAAATGTAACAGTATTAGACTTTGTACTTTATCAGCCAGTGACAGATGCATGTTTTCATTTTTTTACATATACTATTAGATTTATATATTACATTTTAGATGCATATTAAAAAGTTAATATTTGTTGTTCCATAATAATGTATCTTTTGTTTCCAGGAAACCATTGCCTCATGATGGGAGTGTAATGGTAAAAATAGATGTACAACATCCTGATTTGTTATCCACCAGCCCATCTAGCTTTAACATCACAACGAATCAGACAGAATGGATCATTCATGTAAAAAGCCTGGCTGCGGGCCATTCGACTCTCACTGCTAACGTAACACCTAGTAATATTACAGAGTAAGTTTATATCTATAATCGACTTTTTTCGGATAAGGTTTCGTATGTCTCAACTTGTTTGTAAACTGTAATCAGCTGCTTGCTGCGCAAACACATGCACCTTCGTCTCAGTAACATTTGTACTCTTAATTGAGCCCCACTTACACAAACAGCAGAGAGCACAGAGACCTATGGCACTGAGGCCTATATTATCTCCACGACTAATTCCGAAAAGATTCAAATCAGTACGTTACATTCACATTGCTCTCTGCCAGCCGTGTATGCATTGATAGCCTCTTGACCCCAACTTGTCAACCAGGCTGAAACTTGAGGTTTCGCCAGTCTATGCCTGGATTTGCAATGGACTACTTCCTAGTGTAGCTCTAGTTCCCATCGTTAACGCGTTTGTGCCTAATAAGTGTTCTTTATTATCTCTGTGAATTTTGTAAATTTACAAACTCCAAAACTTACACTGGTGCAATGTACTCGATAGTGCTTGAAAAAAAAATTGCTGCCGTAAAATTGCGTTAGAAGAATTTCAAGATTTGCGATAATCACAAGAATTGCTAAAAAATGCCCATATATAAGATAATCATTATACCGCGAGATCAATTGAATAGTGTTGATTTGAAGTAAGCAAATGCAAAGTGCTGTTTCTGCCACTTTTGTTGTATTCGAAATAGTATATCTTTAAACAGTGTTCTACGTGCGTGACAATAATCAGTTTTGCATAAAATTCTCTTTTTTTTTTTGTAGCTTCTCTCAAGCATTTGTCAGAGTGACTATAGAGAAATCGGACACACTTTATCACATTAGTGCTGTGGTTGGATGGATATACTTTCTGGCATGGAGTATAAGCTTTTATCCGCAGATCTACAGTAATTACAAACGTAAAAGTGTCGTGGGTCTCAGCTTTGACTATCTATCACTAAATCTCGTCGGTTTTCTCATGTACGCGTTATTCAATTGTGGTCTCTACTGGATACCTGAGATTGAGGTAAGATATTCTTATACTCGTTGTTCGCATTAAACGTACAAACTACCACATGTAAAAATTCCCTGACAAGAAAACATCAAACCAGAATCAAATATTATCGCATCTAGTATATAATCCAACAAAGAGAAGATGTAACATTATTTGCTACGTTATATATGCTAATTTACTCACACACATGTAATTTAATTTATTTTCATCATGAAATAACATTTTCAGCTTGAGTATTTCAGTCGGTATCCAAAAGGCTTGAATCCTGTCCAAGTCAATGATATATTTTTCTCTCTACACGCAGTATTTGCCACCGCAGTAACAGTCACGCAATGTTTTATTTATGAGGTAACTAAATGAAGTTTTAATTATGTAATTGACAGAGTCGTTTTTGCGAAATAACACTTCAATCGCAACAATCGAAGTCTAATTATGCTATTTTCTTCACTCCAGAGTGGCAATCAAAGAGTATCGACGACTGCGCGCATTATCCATGGAATATTCACGACATTTATACTGATATCTTTGATATTATCCTTTGCCAGGATAATACAGTGGCTAGATTTCCTCTATTACTGCAGCTACGTTAAGCTCAGCATAACGCTTATCAAATACGTGCCACAGGCGTTTTACAATTATAGAAGAAAATCCACCGTTGGCTGGAGCATCGGAAATATATTCTTAGATTTTACTGGTGGTATCTTATCGATGCTGCAAATGATACTCAATGCTTACAATTACGGTAGAGACCTATTACTAAATTTATATTTTGATCTTATATCCGTATCTAAAATTCATAAGTTAATTCCGTCACGAGAAACGTGCTAATTCGGCATAATATTTATTTTAGACGATTGGGAAAGTATTTTTGGAGATCCAACTAAATTCGGTCTTGGGTTCTTTTCTGTGGCGTTCGATATATTTTTCATAATACAGCACTATGTCCTGTACAGGTATGTATGCATTATATTTTGACATTGCACGCGCTCTGTGCTTGTTTGTTCATGGCATTTAACGCTTCATCGAATAACTTTTTTAGAGCTTTTGGTCTGATTTAACCGTAAAATTATTAAGGGCTTGCAAACGCACATCGTCTTTCATTCGTGCTCGAAAGATGAGTCATTTCGCAGCATGGAATTAGACTACTATCTAAAAGGTGATAGGAAGTAGTAGATGATAATTGCGAATACTTAGACTGAAAAGTGAAGACTGATTGCGCAATGAAACTGAATATTTTAATATGTATTGTTTCTTTATTTATATTTCATTATTAATAAACAAGATATAAATGAAAAGCCGAGAAATTTTTGCAAGCCTCTAATAATGATAGCATGTTACGAAATGTTTCACATGTAAATTCTTACGCAAGATATGATTGATATGATTGATGTTATATATCGATCGTCATTAATATTCCACGCATGCGGGAAACGTAGATGTTTTACTTGACACATTTATGCTCTGTATGTTGCTCTGTATGTTGGTTGCACATTGATTTCTTCACTTATTAATTCAATAGTTAACTCAATGTGCTACTTTGCTGTTTTCATAATTTGCGCGTTATTTAATTGAGCGTCAATAATATTACGCGCAACAAGAGTGCATTAAAGTTTTTATACAAAGTCAGAATATCCTCCTATGATCATATGCATACATGTGTGTTCCATCTCGCCTATTTAATGAACACAACCGTAGATGTGAGGTAGAGCAAGCCCGATATTTGATTTTACAGATATGTCGATGAGAAGATGATTGACCTGAAGGGCAGAGTATAGCAACTTCGCCAACGGTTTAATTCCTTTTCTTTGAAACCCTCCTATGATCCGTGTATTTCTCACTTGTGTTTCTATATTACTTGATAAAACCTAGCATGACTGTTTTGTCACTCATCAGTATCATGCATATAATTAAAAGATATAATCGAACAAAATGTATGGTAAAAGATAAAGCGCGTGCAATAGGTTTATGCAAGCACATGTGATATATCTCGAAAAATAGGTTTTTTGTACATATCTTATTCTTTTTTATGTCGATATTTATATCAAATACATTCCGCAAATTATGCTCTTACGCGGGCCATAAATGTCTGCATATCATATATATTTATAGTATTATAAAGAAAAGATAAAGCAAACGAGCCATATCTATTTATCGAAACTGATAATTGAAATTTATAATTCTACGAGATATGTACGAATTATTATTTTTATATTGTTTTAATTGCAAAAATCTCATTCACTTATAAGCATATTTTATATATATGTATAAAATTATTTTATATATACAAGAAATGTTTTATATGTACTTTTTATATATAAGTAAGTGTGTGTGCAATAGGAAATCTATATATACTTTTTTTTTAGAAATATTTTACTTCTGTTATATTTTTTTATGACAAAGTTTCAAACTATATATTTAAATGTATGTGTGTGTGTGTGTGTGTGTGTGTGTGTGTGTGTACATTTAATATTATAACAATGATATATTCTTTCTATTTTTTCCAAATGTTAATTTAAAAATTTATAGTCTCAATAGATATCATAAAGTTTGAAAGGACAGTACAAAATGGCATCATATGATCATAATAGATAATTTTATCGCAATTAAGATAATCTCATACGTGAAAAAGTTGAAATAAACGATACAATGTGACGCGAATCGAATATGATTGAGTTACATATTTGGTAATAACTGAAAAAAGTTATAAATCCCAAAGAAACACATTTGGTATGCAGTGGCATTGAATATAAAATAAAAAGATGCCACTTTTACTAAAAAAATTCGATATAGTGAAAGATATATGTACATATACAGAAATAAGTTTTTCTGTATATAAAAATCTTTATCAGGGATTTACAAAATCGATTTGATTTATATTATTGTAATAAAAGTGATTTGCATGCTTTACGAAGCTAATTACGAGATTGGATTTTCTTTATCTTGTATGATTTTTCTTCTCAATTTAAATGAGATTTTAAATATTACGCATTGTATATATTAATGCAACTCTTTATATATTTTATCTATTTAAAATATGTAATTCAAAAGATATATGTTACTCTATATAAAAAGGAAACTACTTGATACGAGGATCATGTTAAACTATACGCATGAAGCATGTTTTGCGTTTATTTATATTGCAGTGCGCGATACTTGCATACATTGAAATGGATCGCTGCGAGCCTTTTCGAATTGCACGATAAATTATGCAGCGATTTTAGATATAATTTATTTATTTTCTTTTTTAAAGGTATAAATTATAATTTGGGAAGGTTTGGTCTATTGAATAAGAATTTGGGTGTTCAATAGACAGGATTTTGTATGTGTCTCATATGCGGTTTGAATGAATGTACGTATTTTTTTATTATTAACCCGGGAACGGATGCCGATATTCTTCTGTTTTTAATTACAAAAGAACGCATATAAATGTTATATATATAGTTGTTTAAAAGTTCCGTTGTGATAATTGCAATTCTCGTCGCTCTTTATGTAACATTTATTACTTTGCAATAAATAAATGATTTGAAAAGATACGAAGTACGAAAACGCGACATCAAGTTTTAAACTTTTAATCCTCCGATGAACAATAAATATACAAGTACTCCCGGATAATTTTTAAATGAGACGAAGAACGTGACGGTAAGTCTCTAAAAGTTAAAGTATTAATATTTACCGGAGCTTTTCCCTTCGCTATTTATTGAAAGAATCATGCTTAGTTCCCGAGTTAATTTTAAACCTTTAACTCTACTAACTCTACTAATTAATCTAATATCTTATTTGAACTCTTCACATGGGACACGCAACATATCTTTTCTGAGCGCGGTCAAGAGAGATCGGAATGGATCTCTAACTCTTTGCCGTCACTCGTTAATGTGCCTAAAATCACTCGTTAATGTGCCTAAAATCTGTCGTAATTCCTTTCCACAGGGATCGTACAGATTATATCGAAGTGCCTGGCCATTGTTAGGAGGAACCCGAAGGCTCGTGCAACGCATAAAATACCTAGCTGTCGCTTATCACCGTCCCATCAAATCAGAACGCTTAGAAATGATATTCGTCACAGTGGAAGCACTCTTTTCTCCTTGTCGATCAACGACACGCTCGATCGCTCGTTTCGCACAAGACGAAAAGAAAGACAGGAAGGAGACCGACTTGCCGAAACGGCCGAGAGATCTACCGTCGAACCTGTTTGCGAATCAAATTATTGGTTTGACTTACCACGAACCGCTTGTCGCTTCCCCGTAAACGTAACCTCGTCGAAAAAATACCACCATAATGCTGTTGACAACGACCTTTTCTTCTCGTGAAAACACACGGAATTAAGTCCACCATCGTGCTCGATTCACACACGAAAAAGCATTTAAACATCATGTTTGTCGGCACTATGCGCGTAATTAACAAAATGTCTTCTCCGCGCAAGTTTAAAAAACGAGACATATCGATAATCGCAACTCGATTGTCGGCAGCGCACGTGACCGCCGATTCGTCGCGAGAGTCGTACGAGAACACCACGTGATATCTCTGCTCAGCCTGCATAGAGTTTGTTGTCGCGTTAAGTCGTTGATCTCGTCGGTCGCACAGTCAGGTAAGGACCTTTTGCAACTTTATTCTGCTCGTTGATATCCTGCAAACAAAAAAAAATAGACGATTTAGTTAGTTTTGCAGCAATTTTGAATTGATTAAAAGCTGACGAGTTATGTAAACTGTGTTACTATTGTTTAAAGAGGTCAAGATAACCTATGTGATATTTGTGTGATATGAAGTATCACTTGCTTCTCTACTGATATTGTTTTGTATGTCAAGGAAAGAGAATTTAACATGATTATCTAGCAGTGTTGTAAAATTGCAGTTGCATCTTAAAACTGTATAATTACAAAGAGTCATTCTTTACATTATATTTGGATTCTTAATATTATTACTTGATATGTTACAAATATATGAAATATATTTATATATATATATATGTATATATATATAAATAAACATGTCAATATATATATAGTAATATTAATAAAATGAATTGTGTAAATATTTTTTGCAGAATGAGTATCGCTTTCTTTGCGCGAATTGGCAACTCTGCAGTAGGTCTCAGCAGAAACCTAAATTGCTGGACAGCGGCAATCACAAAGAAGCATAGAAAGATATATGAACGAATGTATCCTACGAAGCTTGTTTTCTCAGATGGAAGCAGTATAGATATTGATTATCATGAGCCAAGAAAGATAATAATTCTCCCGCTGAATCTCGCTGAACTAACACAGGAGCAACAAAAAGCCAGAATTGAAATGCGTAAATCAAAAAGTAAAATAATAATAGCTGAAGAAATAGAGGACACTTTTGATGAAAATAGATATTTTAATTTTAAGAAGTGAACTCCGTAGTGTTTCTGAAATTTGTATTATACATATTATGCAGAAGTACAAAACAATATCCTTTTTGTATTTACAAGAAGAGATCCTGTTTGTATCTGCGGTTTTCCATATTATCATAATTGTTTTATATACGGTTCTACTATCATGTGGAACAACAGATGTAAATATTATTTTTAAAACCATTTGTGATATATATATATATATATACCATGAAATATAATGGTGGTGAATCTAATCTTATATGATAATCGTAAAATAGAATGAATTATGTTTGTAGTGAAATAGGATAGCATTATATGCATGACACTAATACCGTATAATGATATAAGCATCATTATTCTATGAACAGATAATATTCACGCTCATGTAAACATATATATGACAGCACCACAAATAGATACCACAATGAGATCGCAGTTGTGTCATTAATTCTATTCCTTTCAGCCTTCTCATCGCAATTACGATATTGCGCAAATCCGATCAAATTGATACTGTGCAAATTGAGTCTTATAAATATGACATGTATAAAAATATCTTTTATCTAAATATCGTGTTAGACATTTCGTCAATTCTCCTTGAAAAACGACCTTGAACTTGTCTGAGAAAGAAAGTAGACTACATCGCGACGAAGATCGAATCGATTACAGGTTCGAACAGCTTTCGAATAATATTCCTTTCTCAATGGGCAATAATCGCGCGTTCGGACAAACTCGTTTTCACATCCGGATGAGGGGGCTGCATAGCTGGCCGGGTGAAATTTCTACGTAACTCGCGATATGTGAACGAATCGATTTGACGGCCGATGTCAAACGACGCGATCTCTCTCTTCTGGAGAAAACGATCATCGTCGTGTTTGATCAAAAAGTTCGCGACTAGGACTACATGCATAAAGACCGACATAATTGCCTCGACACATTGCGATTACAATTTTCGACCGTATGCATAGTAATACATACGGTTGAAAATTACAGTCGCCAAGTGTCGAGGCAAAATTGTGCCCCGTTTGGCACAATTCGATACGTAAAATTAATACGTAAACACACAGGCGCACTATGTATCTTCATATTTCCGCGGATTCTTACCGGTTTTGTTTCTTCAGTATGCTCGTAGTAGCGCAGTATGCGGCAACTGAAATCTGGAACTTTCCATGCGCGACGAAAATGCGACATTGCTCGGCACCGCTCGGTTCCGTGAGAGCTCGGTTCGCTCTCTTAGTGGCTGATACTTCGCTACGATACTTCGCACGATGCTCAGCACGATCTCAGCATTCTCGATGACGATAATTCACTCGCGAGTCGCGAGACTCATCATCTTCGGTGAGCCGAAATCAAAGAAGCACGAGACGACTGTGGACACGAACAGTCATGTCGCGATCTATCCCGTGGACTGTCGGTTAGAGATGACGCCGATTGCGATTCTCGAAGTATCGGTATGCGGCTTACTTCACTCGCGTCACTCTCAACGGTCGGTTCGTGAGACTCGCTCTCACGACTTCTCAAGCGTGCATCGCCATATACGGCATTTACTTTCGGCAATCCCGGCGACGGTATCTCATGCTTCTTCCGTGAATCGAAGACACAAAAAACAGTGATGCAATCTCCGGCTATAACCTTACGAACACACAACGCTTATCTCGGTACTCCGTTCGGTATGGCCGTTTCGCGGTAAAATTCTTTTACGATACTTTTCACGACGAACTCACATCGACACTTACATCTTCGGCACTCCCGGCGACTACAATTTGTACACGAGACTCGCTTTCAGCGAGCCGAGATTTCGCGAGGAACATCGCGGAACGACACATCGATCATGATTTAGCGCGCAGCTAAATCTTTCCCATCAGTCACTTGAACATGTCGCGAATCTCGGAAGTATCACCGACATAATCAACGCAGCGGTTATTATTCATTTATTTATTAAGCAACGTGCGATATAAAGGACGCTAAATCCGACTACTAATATTTTAGACAGCGAAACAAACGACGCTGTTAGAAAGCCGACGAAAATCTTCGATTTTTATAATATCGGGACTGTTGATAAATGATTTTTTAAAGATTCACGTAGTAGCGTCGACATCGCGCAGTCACTCCGGCTCGCAGTAAATTACGTTGCTTCTGTGTGAACTCGAATCGCTATTGTCTTGTACGTCGTGTATATTTATATTCGTTCATAGCGAACTTTATGCGTGAACGAATGAACGATGACATGTCGAGAGTGCTGAATTTAGCGACGGGCGATCGTTTCGGCGCATCCATCGCTAGCAAAACCGAACGCAACGTCTTTCTATACACTTCGACACAAATGCATCTGTGTCGCTGTTTGACGAAACGAATACGAAAACTCGGGATTCAGCGTTCCTGTCATGCTTCTGTGCTCCGGTAAGCATACTTTTTAATCGCATTATTGTACGCTCGAATAATATCGCACCGTCCTTTCGAAATGACCTATCATTGTATGAAAAATACATTATTTTGCGGAAAGATGCGTTGTCATTGCGCTGCAAGTATGTGTGAACACGTCTGCGAAATATTTGCGAGTATTTGAATATCCACAAATATCAGAACACACATATATTCGTCAAGAGAAACACTTGCGAAAAGTCTGTTAAAAAATATCATGTGCCGAGACTCAAAAAGAAACAATTTTTTTTAAGAACTACTTTAGAGAATACCTAACAAGTAAAACTCGGGGTACGTCAGATGCCGATTTGTTTCCAATTTTTTATAGTTATTTTTTATGTCAAAATATGAAGAAATCTGTTATCATTTTTAGCTTAAATTAATTCTTTCAATTTTTTCGAAATTTTTCAAGTTTTGCACGAGTACACTATTTTATACATATTTAAAACGATATTTCTTAAAAATATATATATATCTGATTTGTTGAAACTTGCACACACATGTCGCCGATTACGAATCAGAACTATTTTATAAAATTCAAAATGGCGGCATCTAATATGACGTCATTGTTGAAAAAGTGTTCAGTTTTACGCTACATTCGACGTTGGGTAATCTTTCGGCTCACTATCCAGCAAACAAGCTCATTTTAATTAGAGCTGATGATACCCGGGTACCCGGGTATTACTCGTATTACCCGTATTATCCATATTATCCATATTATTCGTATCATCTGTATTATTTGAATATCCATATTATCCGTATTACTCGAGTGTCTATGTAATAAAAGATTGTCAGAAGAAAGGATGCAATCGGACTCAGAGAATGAATAATCACATTTATAAAACGAAGTCGTTGCGAAATAAACGTTTCTTTTTCTTTCGCGTAATTAATGATCTATAAGATATTATATATAATTGTGTTGACAGCTTTGGAAGCGTAATAATAATAAACATATGTATGTATGTATATTTATGTATGTAGTACGCGCGTATGTGTGTATACATTTGATTTTTATATTTAAACTTTATATAGAATGAAAGATTTTATGCAGAATAAGAATTAAAATAATGATTTATTCTTGTTTAGAAATATTAACAGACTTACATTTTCGGTAGATAAACAATTTCGTTTTGCAGTAACTATGTTCTCTGCGGTTGAGAAAACCCTTTCCGAACTGGCTGAGGATGCTGGTATTGCCAAATAAATTTTTGCTAATGCGGCAATCGTAGGGTACAAATTTTCATGTGCTCTCCACCATTTTAATGGATCTAAATTATAAGAAATTTGTGGTTCAGCTAAGTACATTTGATATTGAGAGAGGTTATCTGTAGATCTTTTTGGAACTGCAAAAATAAAGTCTAAATCTGTTTCTGTTTCGGTTTCATAATGTTTCAGTTTGCGTAATGTTAGAAGAGACATTAATAATTTTCTTTTGTACATAGATTTTAATTTTGTTTGCTTCCGTATCTATTTCTGATCGAAGATCTTTGGATATCTTGGATCGAGAAAAGAAGCTAATTATTCTGGACTAAAGTCATCTTTAGCTGCCATATTAAAACGACATCGTAATATTTTCTTTAAATTCAGCAATAAAATTACTATCATTAACCACTTTGCGGAAGTAATTATTCATAAGACTTCTATGATTGGTCGAACAGCTGATAATGTAACTTTAGTTTCGCTACAAAAGATTTTAGTTGCAGTTTGCAGGGGTTTTAATAAAATGATCATTTCTTCCATCAGTGTCCAGATATTTTCGAAGATTTCTAAATTAATCGCAGTAGTAGAAGTAGTGCAAGCACTGTCTGCCAATACTGCACACACAGCACTGCGGTTTCGATATAATGAGTCGCACATCATATAAATATGAATCCCATCGCGTAGGGCAACTTTGAATTAGCCGTTCTTGTTTCATATCAAATTGAACCTGCTTCTTTTCCAGAGCATTGCTTGCAATATTAGAATGTTTAAAGTGACTGACAATTTTACTTGCTTTGTTGCATACGGTGTGACATTCCGGAATACTATTTAATACATCTTTTACGCATAACTGCAATGTATGTGCGGTGCAATTGACACTATGCTCAACATCAGTCAGTAGTCGCATTTAGCAGCTTTAATAACTTGCGTTATCATTTTATCAACTTTTTGGATGCGACATAATTAACACGTTCATTGCCGTTCACGCGATATCGCGTGATGAGTCGCTAACGAGTTTCTACGCAGGATAGAATAGCGAAACGGCGCATTATGTTTACATACGTCACTGGGGATCGAACTCTCGTGGAGGGGGGATGGCTTCCAGCCATCGTCTGTTGAAAAAGAAAAGAAAAAATAATTTTGGCCACCACACGAAATTCAAATTTTCAGTTTGGCAATGAACGTGTTAATAGCAAACGCAGTTATTAAATGCAGGTTATATCTGATTACGATATTAAATTAACGTATGTCATCGAGACCGTCAGAAGTTTGACATGAAGTAGGCAGATAATTTAAACAAACACGAATAATAAAAGTACGGGTAATACGAGCGGGTAGCCAAGTACCCGGGTATTTTTAACATATTTCAGATAGTGAGTGGGTACCCGGATAATTCATTACCCAAATCATCAGCTCTAATTTTAACGTCAAAAGCTGGTGAAAAATGAACAAGAAATGAACAAAAAAAGAATGAACAAAAAACTTGAGAAATTTCGAAAAAATTGAAAAAATTAATTGAGCTAAAAATGATAACAGATTTCTTTATATTTTGACATTAAAAATAATTATAAAAAATTGAAAACAAATCGGCGTCTGACGTTCCCCGAGGTTTACTTGTAAGAGGGGGGGAAGGGAGAGAGAGAGAGAAAGAGAGAGAGAGAGAGAGAGAGAGAGAGAGAGTTTACATGAAATTGATACTATTGGGTTGGCAACTAAGTGATTGCGGATTTTGTCGACAGATGGATTTTACACTTTCTTTTGTTTCGTTAACGTGTTCAAAGTACCTAACCTATATTTTTTTCTTATTGTTTGGACTT